AGAACACAGGCTTGTCTTTATTAATAGCTCTCGGTGTGCTGTGGGGATACGTGAGGAATTTCGGATACCGACATCATAGACAGCACGCCATTATCATTATCACCAAGCTCGTGTCAGGGTGCTGGAAAATTCTAACTGGCTTTTACTGTAACGGAGGTTTGGTGGCCTACAAAATGCCCCTTTTCTGTGCCGTACAGTACTGGTGACTTGTAGGAAAAACACAAACTTAAATATTTGATATTACACTGTAGAAAAGAGCTGCAAGGTGAATATAAAAGCAGCATTCTCGGTCCTTGGTTTCTCATAGACTAAAATGAGAGCACAGCAGACCACAGAAATGATGCAGAGTTTAGGGTTCAGCCATTAAAAAATCGGGCACAATTTCAATTGGATCTAAAAACATATTTCGGGGGATCTTGCAGAAAACCCTCATCTATTCTCCATGTATTTCAAAACAGCTAGAAATAAGATAATCAGATCAACTGTTTTTGCTTCTGATCTGCACTGATTATCTGCATCCACTTCTAAGTGCTACCTTGGTCAGTGTCACAGTAGCCTGGAGCCTCTCCCAGACAGCCTGGCCACACCCTGGGCGGGATGTCAGTCTATTATAGGCCATGAATCAACTTAAGCTCTTTTGAAAAAGTTGTCTATTGCTTCAGTAGTGAAAGTTAACAGAAACAAATTGCTGCAGAATGCTGCACTATGGTAAAACTTTTATATAGACGGTTTCTTTTTTCTCCTGGGACAATACAGAAGCTGTGAGACATAACGTTCCACTTGCAAGTTGGTCTCTCTCTGATTTAATTAATCAGCTGCCATAAGTGGTTGTCTAAGCTGTCGGAAAAAGCATCTCGCAGCAGTGTAGAGGGTAACGGTCTCCGTGCTCCTCGGTCCACCTGGTGACACGTGGAGGACACCCCCAGCACGGAGAGGAACACTCTACAGGACCCCAGATGAGGATTCTTGCCAGATGCACTGAATACACAGTGGGAAAAAACAAGATAATATATGATTTCTCACTGTTTTCATTTATCTTTCTCCTTACTGTTTTCTAAATTTAAAAATGTCTTTAAAAAATTCTCCTATCTGGCCATAATGCTCTTAAATGCAACTATTCAAGGATGCTGTTGGACGCCTCGTTTATCAAGGTGATAAGACATCGGCTCTCTCTTTTCTACACACTCTGGTTCTTTAGTCTGCTCCCTGTGGATGCACTGTGATGCTCTTGTCCAGTTCGGAGTCCCCGTGGGTCCGTCTGTCACTGTTCCTTTAAATGCCACGCTGACTGTCGTCACCATGGCAATTATGTATAAAATTAAAGCCTCGCATATTTCCTGAGAATCGGTATTCTTGGGGTCAGGGGCAGAATTTTGCAAAGTTAGATATAATAGTTTCGAAAGTAGATGGTTCAGGCGTTATTCCTCAGCTGCATGTTTTATGGCCAATGTCTGAAAAGCTGTTTATAAAAGAATCTATATTCAGACGGCTAGATTAGCAAAGAAGCCAAAATAAATTTACATCCTCCCTTGCAGACATGTGCTTCATAATAAACGCACAGAAAGACTTTTTGAATTTGAATTTTACTAATTCACGCAAAGCTTAACATTTTAGCCATTAAATGGCGTTATTCAGCAGAATATGATGTTTAAAGCCTTTATCAAAGGTACGGAAGATTAGGAGTCGATTCAGTCTTTGTCAAGTGGGTTCAATTCCTGCTGTTTTATAAGAACAGTCATTTTGGGAGGGGTGAGGTTTAACACACACACACACACACACACACTGACTGGGAGAGAAGTTCAGTAATCAAGCCCAACCCTGAACATGAGAGTCAGCTTCTCAGCCTCTTGGCCTGTCAACACAGATGGCTGACTTTGTCGCACAGGGTCCCTGTCTCTGCTTCCCAGTGTTGGACACAATCTGTGGTCTATCAGTGGGAAAGAGTGAGAGCTGCCCCAGTGAAACCAGCCAGGTAAAGGCTAAGCCTACTGGGAAAAATCAAGGGCTCGTGAGTTATGGCTGAATATGCGACACATTGTACACGTCAAGGCAGCTTTATCAGCATCCATCCATCCATCCATCCTTCCACCCACCGTTCATAACTGCTTATCCAGTACAAGGTCAAAGCCTATCCCCAGAAGCATCCCAGATGGGAAGCCAGTTATCTCAGCAGTGAGAAAAGAGCTGATTCAGGGAGCAGATGCCCCCCCCCCCCCGCCCCGGCCCCCAGCCTCGCTTTCCAGACTAATCGGAATCGGCAAGCTGCGAGGTGTTTCCGTGTCAAGGTGCCTTTTGGAGGGTGGTGTTCTCACCTGTGCGTTTATTACAGTGAGTGGCGGAAAGAGCCTCTTATGCTTCTCAGCGCTGAGGCACTGCAGTGCTTTTGTTAGTCATTAATCACTTAGAGCCTGGGAAATAAGCTAATATAACAGCAACCAGGGGTTCTGCGTGACCCCCGGCCCGTCACATTCCTCTCCCGCGCAGGGTAACTGAGAATGAATATAACAGAACGGTAATGGCAGTTAGAGGAAGGTAACCTAGTATGGGGAACCACGGGTGAGCGTACCAGTTCCAGAAGGTTAGTGGTTAAATGAGGTACAATATCTGTCGTACCTTTGAAGAAGTAAAAATATCCTGTTGGTCACATTAGACAGTTTTTTTTTTCCAGCCAAGTATCTTAAATAATAAGACAATAACAATGGGCTTCACTAATGATTTTTCCAAATTGATCGCTGGTTGTCAGTTATTTGCCATCTGTAGTACAGAGAAAGATGCGTTAATAGAAACAAACAAACAAATAAATCGCCTGCTGTATTTCTGCTGGTGTGGCAAGCAGACAGTAAGGCTCTCATCCAGAAAAGAATACTTAAAATGTTTCTCTGGTTAATTAGTTATTCTACTTTGTCACACTTTGTGATTGAGGGCTGGGATGCATTGTGTGTTCCAAATTAGCAAAAACAAAAATGCAGATATTCGACATCATTATAGATATAAACCCAGCCCAAGTGATAAGTTAATTGGAATCTTATAATTGATAATAGTAAACCTAAGAAATTTACATTCAAGTTTTCACCTGTAATTAAATCATATCTGAGATAATGAAGCAGTTATATCTGGAAAAAAATGAACATAAAACAGAAATAAAGTAATTGTTGAAAAAGTATTGTATCATTGATTGATGTCACATAATGAAAATCTGCCGTTAGCCTTATCTATTGTACAGAAAGATGGGTGTCACCAGCCTTCATAAGATCCAATTTGCATTGCAGCTACATTCCCTGCCAAATTGATTTAAATGAGCACTTAGCTTGTTGGTCCTCATTAATACACACATTAGGCTGCATTTTTGAGCAACTGATGGTTACTTTAGTTGAATGACTGCCTGTTCCCACCGATTAAGTGCCATTATATTACTCACTAGTACCACCCAGATTTGTAATTATGGGCCAGCGGATGACTCTGAATAAATTTTAGGCGTGAAGGCACACCTCATTATACACATCTCACGACGCAGCCGTGGCGTCGCTGGTCCACTGAGGCCCCAGACCGGCTTAATCTGGGGAAATCCGTCCAGGCCAGCAGACTGAAATTAGGTGCCAATTAAGCCCAGTTGTGTTGCTTGTTTTGTGATAAACGAAGGTGTCAAGGCAAAATTGGGTCGAGACTCTCTGAAGTTATTTTATTAAATTGGTTAGGCGGGGTCCCAGGAGTTTGGGGGCAGGGGAGAAAGAAAACAGAACCCCTCTTAGAGAGAAGGGACTTCACTTGGCTTTTCATCCTCCCAACAGCACGGTCTCTCCCCGTAACGCGTGGACATGATGCCCGGACAGTGGGACAGAGACGCTTTCTGAAGCATAGTCATCCTTTGTGGAAATTCACGTGCGTCCATATTTAAAATGTAGGTTGGGCTTCTTTGATTCCAATGAGGTGATCAGGGGAAGGAAACTCACCACCAAGAAAATTGGTAATTTGATTGAATCATGCTATTTTGGTTGTTTTCCTAATGATTTTATGCAGTGAGAGAATTTACTGATGTTTCTCAGGTTTACTTCCTGTCTCAGACCTCAGATCGCAGATCCACACAAAGCTCTCCAAACTGTGACGTTTCATTCCTAAAATGCCATGTCATTCAGCTCTACTGATTATGCTATTTGAAATTCCACCCCGAAACACACAGTACACACCTGCCACTATGATCTTACATTTTATTTTCAATGGGTGCCCTATATATCCAAGGGAGGGGGAGCCAGGTGGCTGCAGGTGTCCATATTGATTTGATCCAGGTGTGTCTCATTCCCCTCATTCGCTATATGAGCTTGTCCTGCTTTCTTTGGCCCCCTGTAACCCGGCTAGAGCGACGCTGCCTGGTTCATGCTGAGACCCAGTAGATGTGACCCATGCCTGTGCTATGGGACATGTTTCCCCCCCCCCCCCCCCCCCCCCCCC